TTTTTTCTTTTTTTTATTCTGGGCCAGCTTTAGCTCTGAGGCTCCAGCTCTTAGGCCTCCGCTGCTGAAAGTAGGTATCTGGTTTGTTTCGGTTCGAAACAATGTATAACTCCAGCTCTGACTCCAGCTCTGAGATCCCAGCTCGCTGAAAGCTGGTTTCTGGGGTTTTTTTTAGCTTCTATGTTTGTTACAATGTTCAAACTGCAGGCTCAGAGGCCTGCAAGGCAGGCGGGGAACGTTGGTTTCCTCCGTCACTGAAGGAAGCAAGCCTCATGTTAGTTTCAAGCTGCCTGGCTGCCGGCCGCCATCTTGGCTGTCAGTTAATTTGCATATCTCCCTGATTAACCAATGGGAAGGGTAGCGGTCGTACGCCAATTACCATGTTTCTCTTTTATTAGTGTAGATTGAAACTTGCATACATTTTTGTCATTAAACATTACCTAGCACTAGTATCATAAAGGTTTTCATATGGATTTATAAACTGCTCTGAAAATAGAAAGGATATACTGATACTTGACACACATACTTTAATTAAAACAACAATTGTAATGATTTTAGCTGCTTTAAATGTGGATTACATCTTTTTATATAGTGGAGTCATCATGTTTTTTTGTGTACTGATGCCATCTCATTTTCTCTTCACCCACATTTTACACTTAGTTTTATTGCACGTATCACTGGAAAGCCTGTTTGTACCTGGCTAGGTTATCCCATATAACAAAGACCTAATATGCTAATTAGACCGAACCGAACAACCTTCTGGACGACTGTCCAGACGACCTTCCAGATGAAGCCAGGGCTGGCCGAGGCTGAGAGGGCCGGCTGGGGCAGCTGGGGCTGCGAGGGCCGAGCCCCTTGCATGAATTTGGTGCATCAGGCCTCTAGTAAATACATAACAATGAATATTTTACACACAGGATCTGGGTTCTTTGGGTTACCTACTGTAATTTGGCTAATGAAAGCCAATAGGATTTCAAAATACCTTTCTCCTTTCTAGACTCATCAACTCTTGGGCAAAGTTAGCCCTGGAGCTGGTCGCTCCATCTTCATCACCATGAGTGGCACTGTGATTGTGTTGCACTGATCATTGTTGATACTGTTGTGGTTGTTATTTTGATCATATTTTTTAATATTCCTGTTTCACCTGCCTACAAACCCTTTAGCTAAGCACTGATCCCTGAGAGCCAGGACCACTGTCTGAACTTAATTGCCAAAGAAGGCTAACAGAGGACTCGTCACAGAGGGAGAAGGAGAACCAAGAAGAATGGGACCATAGGGTCACAAAAATCAAGGGAAGAACAAGAATCACGGTCAGAAGAAAGAATCAGATGTTGTCAGAGTTAAATATTACAGATGTGTCCAAAGAATGAGTCCTGAGAAGTGTTTGCTAGACTTGGCATCTAGAACGTCATAAATGACCAGAGAGTGGTAAGGAAGAAACCAGAGAAACTTCACACTTTGGACTGGTTCTCTTGACTCACTGCAGGGGCTGCCAAGAGAGCTGCCTTTTCCTTGAAGAAAGTATTTTGGCCTCAACACAGCAGTGATTCTCCTGATGGTCAGACTTTAAGGCTCTTCCTCAGCTTCCTGCTATTTTTAAATTATCTTCCTGGGTATCTGGTCAATTCCTGCTGCCCCTGCTTCTTTGTCTATTGGAATGACTTATAAATATTTATATCCATCCCTTTCTTTTTTCTAAAGTCTTCCCTTTCAAAGTGCATCTTAAATGTATCTAATTAAATGACGGGCTGCTGGAATCAGGCCTCACCTGGATGTGTATCCAATGTCAGATGACCATGGAGTTGTTTTCTGTTCCATGTTACTTGTGCCCTGCTCCCAGCTGATCCCAGAAGCCCTTGCATGAAGTACCATGTGCGGCAGCCAGTGGCCATTGGCCTGCCTCATTGTGGCTACTGCAGGTTCTAGCCCAGCAGCTGTCACCAAGTAAACCCTCAGGGAATATTTGTTGATTGTTACATAGTAGCAAATGTGTCACATTACCTTTTATATTTTTTAATTAAATATACACTGAGTGGCCTGATTATTATGACCACCTGACGTTTGTAGGCAAATTAGCTATAATTTCCCGCTGAAGTTGCTAGAAGGCCAGATCATTATAAACGTCTGAATAGCACAACATACCTAATTATCATTGCTGATCAAGTTCATCTTTTCATGTTGATGGCGTATCCCAATGGAGATGGCTTCTTCCAACAAGACAATGCACCATGCCATGGTGCTCGTATTGTGCAGGAGTGCTTTCAAGAACATGAGGGAGACTTTACCTTGCTTAGGTAGCCCCCACAATCACCAGATCTCAATCCAATTGAGCATTTGTGGGACGAAGTTAAAAGAGCCATCAGGCTGCTGGTTCCACAACCATCAAATCTCACAGAACTGGACAGTGCTATTCATCAGGCATGGTGTCAGATTCCTCGCATCACCTTTCAACATCTCGTGGAGTCAATGCCAAGAAGAATCGCTGCAGTATTGAAGGCAAAAGGTGGTCCAACGAAGTACTGATGGGGTGGTCATAACAATCTGGCCACTCAGTGTATACTTTACAGAGCTTCCACAGAGCTGGCTGTTCAGTAGCAGTCTCTATAGCTCCCTCCCCCTTTGCCTGTTCCCTAAAGCCCTCTAACTCTCAATTCTTTTAGCCATTCTGATTCTTTTGATACTGACGTAAATGTTTCTATCTTAACAGGTTCATATGGCTCCTTTTTAGTTCTTCAGCTTTAGTCGCAGATGAGAACTCAGCTTTGTCATTGCCTCTATCACACACCCACATTTCTCTTAACCTTTTATTTTGGTTTGATCACAATTCAGTGTTCAAGTTATGCCTGTGTAAATGCCATTCAGTGCTAAAGCAAGTATATACTAAGATCCTTTTGCTATTGTACTGTTTGTATTTTCTATGCATTCTATGTACTTTTCACTCATCCCAGACCTTCCTCCAACCAGGTTATGTAAATGTCCTTGCACTATGTTCAAATACTATGTTCATCAAGTTTATTTTGAACAACCTTACCCACAGCCTCCTCTAGTTTGAACTGGGTATTCTGTAGGTCAGCTTCACACTTGTCATCTTGGGATCTCCCATCAATATCATCATCCTGGAAATTTTCTTCTGCCTGCTTCTCTTCTATGTTGGACCATCCATCTGCTTTTGTGTCACATGCTGTCCTCGTTCTTGGTTTGCTCCCTTATTGATAAAACTCAATCTCTGGTAACTTTCTGAGAAAAAAAGTATATGGGAGGTAAAATTTTTGAGACTTCGAATATATGATGAAAATATTTATGATTGCTGGGCTGGATATAGAATTCTAGATTGGAAATCATTTTTCCTCAGAATTTGCACTGTTTCTCAAGCCTTTGCACTGTTCTCCAGTGTCTGTCTGTCTCTGCTTATACAACCTTCTCCTTTTTCCTAGTTTTCAAAAGTTCATAATGTTCTAAGTGTGATGCCCTTATACTCCTAATGGTGAGTCTAATCTTTTTAGATTCTGGGAGTTCTTTTTTGTATTATTTATTTTACTCCCTCTCCCTCCTATCCTGGTCCTTTATAAAAATTTTAAAATATTTTTCCTCATGTTTTATCTCTTTTATTTTTATTATACTTTCTGAGAAATTTCTCATATTTATCATACAACCTTTCTATTGAGTTTTCATTTCTGCTATGTTATATGTTTTTTTAATTTATAGGAAGATTTTTCTCTGACTGTATATTTTTTAATATGTTTTTATTGATTTTAGAGAGGAAGGAAGAGGGAGAGAAAGATAGAAAAACCTAAGTGATGAAAGAGAATCATTGACCTGCTGCCTCCTGCATGCCCCACACTGGGGATTGAGCCTGCAACCCAGGCATGTCCACTGACCAGGAATCAAACCATGGTTCATAGGTCAACACTTAACCACTGAGCCATGCTGGCCAGGCTGAATATTCTTTTTTATAGAGTTTTGTTTATTTCTTATTTCTCTAAGAATAAGAATACTCTTTTAGAAGTTTTCTTCTTTCCGTATAGTCTCCAATTTAAAATTCTTTTGTCTTAGATATTAGAACAAATGTCATAAGCTTTCTTCAAATTTCTATCAAGTTTTGGATACCTAATCATATTTAGCAGCAGTAGAGCACTGAAAAGCTGAATAGGATTGTATGCTCCATGCAGTAGATGGGTCTTACCAATTGAGCGTCAATCAGAGTGGTATGTATGGGCCTTTTCATTGGGGAATCCCTAACATTATTGTAATTAGGTCATTTTGGGGGCCTGATAAGATTTCCCAGAGAGGGTTCTTTCGATCTTATGCCTTCTGGAAGGAAGAAGAGGCAGAAGGCTTGGACGATCATTTTTGTCAGGGCTCACAGCTGGATCTGATATCCCATGACCTGCATTTACCTTCTTTGGAGAATAAAGCTCTAGTCTTCTGCTGGAGTGGGAAGATGGAAGGCATTGCCCAGCCCTGTGGAAGGAAGAAACCTGGGGACATCTGGCTATTTCTTAAACAGCCTTTAAACTAATCATTTGGTTTTAACTTTATCCCCGCTTTCAGAAGTTTCCTTACCACTCATTCTTGAGCGTTTTAGGACTTTTACAGTACAAAGTAGATTGCAGCTTTCTTTTACATACAGTACTGCCAATTTAGGCTCTGATGTTTTTAGATCTGCTAATTAAATTAGTTTCCACTTACTCATATACTTGGTTTGTAGCTATGATTTACTCTCCTATTCCTTTTTCTTTGTGAAGTTATGCTTTTTATATATATTTAACCGTATATATAACTACATGTAGTTATATATACTACTCTATGCAGTGTATTTGCTGCACATATATAGATATTTACAGTATATGTACTGTATCTATGTTGTGTGTATGTGCATGCACGCACACACACACACACACACACACACACACACAAACTGCACTGTCATTTTTATAGTTTTGGTTAGACCTAAGCTTAATGTGTGGTTTCAGTCTGCCCTCTATAACAGAAAGTTCAGATTAACTTTTGTTTGTTTTATTTTATCATAATAAACCAAACTGTTTACATGTGTATGGTCTTCAGTTTTGTTGCTTAGATATGATTGTTTGCTGTAACTTTTAAAGATTGAAGGGAATCTTAAGTGGAGATAAGCTATGGGCCTTCTATTCTGATGACCCTACTCCCTGTCCCTGGATGCTAAAGGTACCAAATGAGGATTAGATAAAGAAAATAACTTTTATTCCACAATTAGGAACAACTCGTACAATACACCAATGATGTATTCTTCCTGGAAAAGGTGAAAATTGGATGTCTAGATCTCTTAATTTATAGGACATATACACGGTATAGAAGAGCATAACAATGGATAGTCAGCAAAATCTATATTGCACAAAACTCTAAAGCAAACAACCCCATTTCTTCAGCAAAGAAATTTCAAACAAAATTTAAAAGAAAGAGGGAGAGGCCAGAGGATATCCTCTATAATAAAATATACTAAAGGTATTTATCAGTTAAGTTCATTGTATGAATATTATTTGAATTGAGCCAACAATTATTTTTGTAAATTAAATAATTGTAAAAATGTAAACACAATTCTAACAATATTTAAACATTATTGACAGTAAAGAATTATATGTGGTTATGACTTTTTAAAGTCATTATCTTTTAACTCTTTGTAAATGACATAACACGTTATATAAGACGTCACTATAAAGCTACAGTAACCGTAAGAGTGGTATTGCCAAAGAAATAGATGAATAGATCAATGGAACAGATTACATAACCCACAAACCCATACAAATACAGTTAACTGATCTTTGAAGGAGCAAAGGTAATACAATGGACAAAAGATAGTCTTTTCAACAAATGGTGCTAGAACAAATGGACATCCACATGCAAAAAAATAAGTACAGACAGATCTGACACGTTTCCCAAAAGGTAACTCAAAATAAATCATAGACCTAAATATAAAATGCAAAACTATAAAACTAGTAATATAAGAGAAAATCTAGATTATCTTGGGTTTAGTGATAACTTTTTAGATACAACATTTCTTTATAATTACCAAAATTTGGAAACAACCAAGATGCCTTTCAGTATGTGAATGGATAAATAAAATAATATGTGGTACATCACAGGGAATGGCTTACAATTTTCTAAGTCTAATGAAAGGCAAGTTTATATATTCAAGATACTCAACAAACAGCAAAAAAGGATAAACACACTGAAGCAAACTGTTACAACAAAGCTAAAGATCAAATCTAGTAAAGCAGCAGTAGAAAAGCAACATATTACATATAGGGCAGTAGTCGGCAAACTGCGGCTCGCGAGCCACATGCAGCTCTTTGGCCCCTTGAGTGTGGCTCTTCCACAAAATACCGACTTCTGCACATGGGCCACGAAGTTTTAATCACACTGTACATGCGCGCCTGCACGTGGTATTTTGTGGAAGAGCCACACTCAAGGGGCCAAAGAGCCGCATGTGGCTCGCAAGCCGCAGTTTGCCGACCACTGATATAGGGGAACAGCATTTGAATTCACTTCTGTTCTGACTTGGCATCAGAAATTAGAGGCCTTGCCGAAACCGGTTTGGCTCAGTGGATAGAGCGTCGGCCTGCGGACTGATAGGTCCCAGGTTCGATTCCGGTCAAGGGCATGTACCTGGGTTGCGGGCACATCCCCAGTGGGCGATGTGCAGGAGGCAGCTGATCGATGTTTCTAACTCTATCTCTATCCCTTCCTCTCTGTAAAAAATCAATAAAAAAAGAAAAAAGAAAAAAGAAATTAGAGGCCAGAAGAGAATGAAATAACCATGTTTGAATAATAGAAGAAAAAAAACCTGTCAACCCACAAGTTTATATCAAGTGAAAATATTCTATCAGAATGCAAGCAAAATAAAGATATTTTCAAATAAAACTATTTGTGGCAAGATGTGCATTATTAAAAAAAGGTACTACAGTATGTTTTTCAAACTGAAAGGAAATGCTATGGAACTGCAGGTCCTCAGAAAGCAATGAAAAGCATCAGTGACGGTAAATGGCTGGGTAAATACAAAT